CAGATTTTCAACATCTTTTAGAGGAAAAAAGGTGCGTCTTATACTCCAAAAATACGGTATTTGGCTTTTCCCATCTTGATCACTTTGTTCCACAGTATAGTGGACTTGAGGGTGTTGTTGCAGGGCTGCAGATAATTCAGGGAAGCTTGGCTTTTAGACCTAAATGTCTTTAGGGAGATGATGAATAACAGGGTCCTTTTTCCTTCGTATTTCTTTCTTGATTGAGCTCCAATGAGCTTTGCTATCTTTGCAGTTGTGACTTACTTCTGAACTTCTGAACTGAAATCTGCTACAGTGAACATCACCACTGTCTTGATACTTTATTGGGTAGGAAATGTCTAAACTTAAATTTGGATTTCAGAGAAAAGAATCCAGATCTTGCTGAGCTACAACTCTCAGCAGTTCATGGCAAATGATAAGTCCTGCAACATCTGGAGGACCATAAGTTCCCACCCATGCCTTAGGGAGAGGGAAGATGTTGTGCCCTAACATGTTTTCTTACTTTGGGTGTTGCCAGAGTGTATCTGTGAGAGAGGGGCATTTAATTTAAACTTATTTGTGTGCTATGTATAATGTGGGAAATGAACATGCTAGCATTTTATAGGCTATTGATATGTAGGTATGAAAAGGAAATTCTATTTGCACATGTGAAGTGGAAGGTGTGGAAGTGCACAGGCTGGCAGTTTGTACAAAGTTTCTTGCGGCTTTGTTATGCAATAGATTTCTTAACTCTGCTTCCTGTTTTGCTGACTTCAGGAATTGCCGCCATTTCATTTTGAAATGGTCACCTAAACTTCTTGATGTAATGAATAGCTCAAGCTCATTTATTCCCTTCCAAAACAGTTACTTTGGTATTACACTTAACACCTAAGTAAGTACTATCCCTGTTACTATAACTTGTAATTGCAGAAGTACATAGGCAGCTAAGCTGCATTGGTTCCACCACAAAACCGCGTCCGACTAAACCGCGTCGCTGACTTCATCAACAGGGCGACAACAGCGCAGAGACAGAAGCACGCTG